TCCAGTTCAGGTTTAAGGTTGAGGGAAAAAATATTTAACATTGTGAACAAGAAAAGTTGCAATACGATAAGACTCCAATATAGTCCATATGTAGCTCATCAAAATCTGATAAAGACAGATATAATTTAGGCCATTTTTTTATCAGACAAACCATGCTTAGTTAGGTTAGAATATACAACAGAGTCTCATACTCGACCTGAAACCTCTTGGCGACAATATGTGTCATATAGGACTTTTGGTAGGTAAATCTAGACAAATACAATTTCGAAATGAGTAAACTCATTATTGTGTACTACTTTGTAATCTCTATGACCTGTGTTACTATGGAAGTTCTCAACTACGTATCCATTATTGATTCGTAATATTTCACCATATAATAATCACATAAAAATTACCCCACAATATAATTGATTACCTCCAGCCCATATTTCACCTATTAAATACATATAATATTTAATTACAGTTAAACCCAGTCCTATCTATCCAAATTAAATGAACCAATTGAATATACATGACTATAATGACCCAATTCAGTCATTTTAAAAACATCCAAACGCATCCAATTCTTGCTGAGCTTCTCCCTCTCAAGAACGTTCTTCTCATATCTACTCTCAACCTTCTACCTCCCAAGAATCTAAGAGATAGGTTTCCATAAAACTCATTGTTTCATCCTTATTTGTAACTCTAATGTATTAAATTGTGTATTAATCTGTGATAATTGCTCTGCTAATTACTCTACTGATTTACTCTCCCCTTTCATAACCCTAATTCTTGTAGTATATATACATGGGTAGTGAATCATTCCCATATTCAAATTTACATTGTCTCTATTTCTTTTAATTGAGTTTTAACAATGACGATTTCTTTTCTTTCAGAATTGGTTACTGGTAAAGATGACTTTACAATAAGAGTAAAAATTTGTAGAATGTGGAACGCCATTAATCTCAATAAAAATGGTGAGCTTATCAGTATGGGTATGATATTTATCGATGAAAAGGTACATTGCTGAGTGATTCATTTACCAAATATCATATTTTTTGGGTAGTTTCAATTATCAAATTACTTACTAATTACTTATGCTATCAAGGTAATTTGATGCATGATATAATTAGAAAAAATCAGGTTAACAGGTTCAAAGACAAGTTGAATGAAGTTCTGTATTTATCATCAAGAACTTCAAAGTTGTTGAAAGCATTGGGGATATAGACCTGTTCAAAACTCATTGAAAATCATTTTCTTTGCCTCAACTGCAATCAAGAATCTGTCTGAAGATATTGTTGAAATTCCAGTAAACGGTTTTGAATTTATTAATCAAGATGTGACTAACTCAAGGGTGAACAACAACATTGTCTTATCATGTCTATATTTATATTTAAAGTCTTACCGATTACATTTAAAGTTATACATAACTGCACAATTTATTAATAAAAAACTCATGATATTGTGTTTGATGACATTCATGACCTTCATATATATCTTAAAATTTCTATCACATACTTAATAAAATTAATAATATTGAAAAAGAAAGAACTTCATCATTTCAAAAGTTATATTCAAGAGAAACACTTAGTATAAAAAGGAAGGGAAAAAAAGACTATGGATAAACTAGGCATTGAAATTTAACTGGTGCCTATCACATTACAGATTGTTGATCTAACCTCTCTGTGTATAAATGTTAAATAATACCCTAAATTGTTTGAATGCGAGTCTTATATACGATTCTTCATCTTCAATAATCATAGATGTGGTTGGTTGGTTGCTTATTTACGTGTAAATGCTAAATAATTGCCTAAACTATTCAAATACAACACTTGCATATGAATCTTCCTCTTCAATTTTCGTAGATGTTGTTGGTTGTTTATATGAAATTGGTGATATCGAGAGTGTTGGTTCAAAATGGTAGAAGAGGGAAATCCACATTCTTACTGATTAGTAAGTCACTCATCTCATTTTAAGTTGTTTTACTTTGTTATCTCCTTACCATAAAATTATTTGATTATTGATTTATGGTTTCTATGCATTGTTTGGCTAAAGCAAAAATTATCTTATGGGAAGAATTTGGGGAGAAGTTTTGTTCTTATTTTTATAACAATGATGCTGGCCCATATATAGTGATAGTGACTTTTACAACAGTTAAGGAATTTCGTGGTAATTGTTACAGATTTAGTTGTACTAACTAGCAATTTAACTCCAAGCGTTTTGAAGAAATGACATGCTTTCATTTTTAACCCATACATTGATAATAGGTGAGGTTAGCTTCTCCATCACCTATGCAAGCAAAATATATATCAATCTTGATATAGATTGCATCAGATCTTTGGCTCCAAACTTTTCCACCATGTCCACAAAAGTTCAAATTATAAAAAGCTCTAATGTTAACAGTCTTCCTCGTGAGGAAGAGATGTTTTTGAACTGTATGGACATTAAGGAGTTGCTGGAGGCTGAGTGGAGCTCTGAACTAAGGTTCTTTTCTTATTAGGATTCTCATATTATTGGTTTACCATTTAAACATGATCATTACACTATTTCATGATAATTAATTAAAATTGCAGGAATACATTGTTACAGTGAAGAGCAAGATAATAGAAATACATAACTATTTTGGTTGGTACTACATTTCATGTAATGTGTGCTCGAAGAAGATTGAACCAACAAATAGTATTTATCGATGCCACAACTGCAATAAAGATTGCAAATTTCCTTTGGTCAGGTAACCATTTACGAAGGACTGTGTATTAGGTTTGTATATGTTGTGAATGAATCTAACTTATTATGTAAACATAGGTACAAGATACACCTAAAAGTGACAGATAGGACCGGAGACACTACTTTTATCTTATTTAATGCGGTGGCTGAGAAACTCCTTGATACATCTGCTCACAAGTTGTTCAACAAGCTTACTACAACTAACAATGATGTTCCTGTCCAAGTCCAAAGCCTTTGCGGGAAATAATTTGTTTTTAAACTGAGATTAAATCACTATAATTTGAAAGAAGGTCTTGAGAATTTTACAATATCAAAGCTTTGGATTCCAGATGATAATTTGGAAGTACAATACAAACTAAGGAAAGAAGAAAAGGTATTGCAATATAGACTATAAATTTGTAATTTACAATTATGATTACTTTGTAATTTATTTTTCATACTGTTCTTCTTCCAGGGGAAGAACTTATCCAAAAATGAAACCGACCCAAAAGATCAGGGAACCAACGGTTTGACCAAACATATGGTAATTACATTTAATGTTTAATATAAAAATTCAAATCACTTTAAGGATTAATATGGTTTATAATAAATATGTTGATAAATTTACTTTTTGAAGAACAATCAGGTATTTGTTGATGTATTGTTGACTGACTTGGAAGATTATGGGGATGAAGTACATGTAACTAATGGTGCTAGAGTAGAAAACGAAGAAACCTAATCATAGATGATGAGGAATTAAGCGTTCAAGACACAAATAAGGTCAAGAAGTAAAGGATTATTGTTGGTCATAAATGACGAGGAATAAGTGTTCATCACACAAATAAGTTGAAGAAGTAGAGCGATAGTTGTTGCTTCTGATTGTTTTCTGCTTTTTTGAGCTAATTTTAGTTGTTTTGTCCTATTATAATTTACACTTTAGTATAATAACTAGCCACCTTTGAGCTTAGTTAAGTTATTTCGTCCTTTTGCCATTTTAATTTTAGTTTAATAAGTAGCTCCATGTTGTGCGTAGTGATGATTTTCATACTTGTATGGTTTTACCCAACCTTAGACAACTTATATTATTAATCTATTTCGTTGTTTGCATATGATGTCACTGTCAACAAAATCAGATATGTTTCTTCTTCAATTATATATCCCTATATCAGTTCCCATGTTGCTCAATTCATTCCTTTGGTGCTTGGTATCTAGCCGTACGTACAGAGTTGTACTCTTTCCTACTATTCATTTTACAGCCACTTATTATTGCAAAATTAAAATGAGTTAATACTTCCCGGCTGGTAGTTTTTCATCAAATTAGAATGGGAAGTGTTAAATACATGAGAATGTATGGAGATGCATATTATTTATCAGTATTGGAATGAAGACATTGAGGTGCTAACATAAACTGTAATTTAAGTGGATATTTAATCATGGATGACTTAGTTTCTTAAAATTGTCTTTGATAAGTTGTCTTTAACTATAAAACTTAACACATAGGGGTATTTGATGTCACATTCACTTTTGGATTTGTGTTGTTGAAGAGGAGATGCTTTAGGTATTTATACACCTGTCAAATGATGGTTTCCACCCCATCCACGAGATAACTTCCGAAAAAATAACATAGTTACTTGTAATTTCCTTCCGCCAGTTGCATTTGAGGAATAGTTTCAAGTAGGTGTTGACTCATGGATGACTTAGTTCTTATAATTGTTTTCCATAAGTTTCCTTTAAGACTAAGACTAAACACATATAAGTACTTGTTGTTACAATCAATTTTGGGTTTATGTTGTTGAAGAGGATAACAACATATTGCAGATTATTAAAAAAAATCAGGTAATCGGATAGGAAAAGGCAAGAAGGAATCTTATTAAGTGAACTGCATTGAGTATTGCAAAGACCTATTCATGCTTAACAAGATGGAAATGGGAGGAGTTGTGTTATATTTTAGGCGTTATTACTAATTTGGGTTCTCTATGTTGGAGCTCGACATGATGAGTGCAACTAAGCATGATAATTTCAGTGATTCTTAAAAGTTGATCTGTCTCAGAAGTTAGAGTACTCACCTTCACAAAAACAAATGTTTTTTTTTAATTTATTTTAGTTCCTAAGGTAAAAAACATCATCGTTCAACATTAACCTTCTTTCAATTCCTGAAACTTATACAGAAGTACTACAATAGATAAGACAAATAAGGATCGCCCCCAAATAATCAATATAAATTATGATCAGAAAATATATTCTCTAAGCATCATCTAATAAATAATGATATGCCGTATTTGATGTAAATCTATATATATTTTAGCAATAAAACAAACTTTTTAACAGAGTATATATTCTAAGTTTATTCATTAACAATGTATTATTCTCATTAAATAGATACTAAAGTTCATGTATCATCATTTCAAATGAAAACAAAATGATATGCTTAAATAATATAATCATATAATACATCGACAAGAAAAAATTTCCTACCACATATTAATTAATCCGCGCGCGAAGAGCGGACATGTTCCCTAGTTTGATATATAATTAAAGTTCATGACATTACATTTCTCATGAGTATTCAACCAAATGTTCCTCCGAGCACCTGCATATTCGAATTTGTCTATGTATTAGCATTTGATTTTTATTTTTACTCAAAGAGAAAATTAAGTCTTACCTTTATTTTGAAACATAATCCATTTTTATTGCTTCTACTAATTGATTTTGGAAAGAGAAATATGCTTTGGTAGATCATTCAATTAGTTGTTGATATAACCAAAGATCAAACAAGCACTTACCTTTGACTTACTTCTTCATTATTTGTCGCATAACAATTTTAATTTGTGTTCCATCTTTCTAAAAATTATTGCAAGTGTTGGGTTATGGGTCTTTTTTCCCTTCCTATGTGGATAAATAAAAGCCCAATTTGGACCAACCCATATTTGCCCATAGGCCCATTCTTATGAGGCAAATATAAACCTATTTAGGGTCTTATTTTCAAATACACAGAGAGTTTTTTAGCAGCCAAAAAGAGAGAAAAAGAGCAGATTTTCGCAGTCAAATTTCAGCCATAACAACCAACTTCAAAATTGCGATTCCCGCTTCGTTTCTTGTCCGATTGAGCTGATTTTTGGACAGCATATTATCTTCATCTCAATCTTTGATTAGGAACTGACAGAGTTGGATTTGGTGGTCTGCAGCTTCAGTTTTGCTGTCGTGAATAGTAGCTGCGAAATTGGTGATTTTGTTCCTTTAATTCTCTAGATTTGGTGCAATCTTATTTTGTTGTTGCTCGTTGTTTGGCACTTGTTTTGTGGCCAATTTTGGAGAACAATATTGTAACTCTTGGTGATTATAGTGGAGCTTTTGGTCCCGTGGTTTTTTACTCTTCACATCGAAGGGTTTTCCACGTAAATCTTGGTGTCTTGTGTGATTGGTTTATCATTGCCTTGTTATATTTGTTTGGTTGAATTACTTTCTGCCTTACTATCATATTGCTTGTGGTTGTTTGTTTTCTCTTGGTTCAAATCGAAAAGGGAAAGTATAGACTTGGGTATTCTTCCACTGTTATCCTGTCAGGCATTCTTTGTTAGTGCCTTGTCTTTCCCAAACAGCAAGCCATTTAAAAATTCCAGTTGAGATCATGATATATATAATAGATACTCCAATACATAGCGCACTTCCATATTCCCATAAGAGCAGCTTTTCGAAAATCATTTAGAAACTCAGAATTGCTTTCTTCATCATCTAACTCATATATAATCGCTATTATTTGTCTCCGGTGTTCAATTACTTCCACAACCTTTCTAAACTGTGAATCCTTGTAATCCATCATTACCTTCATATGAATTATTTTGAAATGTATCAAATTTATGTCCTCGAGGAATGCATCCTTGGAGATGATTGTGAGAGAGATTTAAGAATGAAAGAAATGTAGGACAACAAGTTGTTGTGGTATCTCTCCTGAAAGCTGGTTGAACGAAAGATCCAATGATTCGACTAAAGATAAACTTTCAAGTGATGGTGGTATATTACCTTGAAATCTGTTATGAGACAAATTTAGCACCCAAAGTGCAATGAGATCTCCCAAACTACTTGGAATATGTCCTTCAAATTTGTTACTTGAAAGATCGATAGTCTTGAAAAGTGTCGAAATTCCATTCAGTTCATACTCCATTCCCTTCGTTGAAAATGTAACAGAAGCATTGTAATATCTCTCTCCAGATTTACCAAGATCTGTTGGTACATTCGTTGTTTGATCAATTGTCCTCATGGCTTTCAAATTTTGAAATAGACTAGACGGCAAGTTTTCTGTGAAAGCATTGTAAGAGAGATCTAGATTCAAAGCTCAGAAAACATGTTTTCATTACTTAAAGCTCTAATTGGCCCATAAGATTTGTTCAATCTCAAGCTTAAAACTTTCAGATTTGATAAAGTCTCAAACCATATTGGAAATGTGTCGTTGAAGTGATTGTCTCCTAAATCAAAATTTCCAAGTTTTTGCAATAGGCTAAAGATCGGGGATTTTCCCTTCTAATTAAGTGTAAGCTTCTGAGTACACTTCCATTGCTAGAAATTTCTGGAAGAGTCCCATAAAGATTGTTTTGGTGGATATCTAAACCCTCAAGATGACCACTCATGTAGCCAAAATATTGTGGAATAGCTCCCTTCAAATTGTTTCGATCCAAATCTAAAATCCTTAGTGATGTTAGATTGCAAATAGATGGAGAGATATCATCACCAAGATTATTATATTCTATTTCAATACCTCGAGTCTACTGATATTAACTAGACATTTTGGAATTTCTCCCCTCAAGTTGTTTCTCCGCGAATACACCGCTTCCAATTTCATTAAATTACAGAAAGATGAAGGAATTTTCTCAGTAAAATTGTTGTTGTGGAGATACATCCATTGCAAATTTCTCATGTTGCCAAAGGAATCTGAAATTGAACCAATGAGTTGATTTGTAACTAAATACATAGTAACAAGTCTTCCTATATTTCCCAACTCACTTGGAATCGAACCAGAAAGGTTGTTAGAAAAAAGAGACAAAAGATACAACTCATTCAAATTTCCCAAAGAAGTAGGAATAGAACCACTAAGTAAATTAGTAGAGAAATCTAAATAACCAAGAGTCCTTACATAACCTATTTCTTCAGGAATGGAGCCATAAAGGTTATTTTGATAAAGGTACAAAATAGAAAGGTTGGTAAAATTCCCCAATGAAGCAGGAATAGCACCACTTAAAGAATTTAGAGCCAAAACTAGTTGACTAAGAGACCTTAAGTAACCTATTTCTTTAGGAATGGAGCTAGAAAGGTTATTCTGATGAAAGTACATAATAAAAAGGCTGGTAAAATTCCCCAATGAAGCAGGAATAGCACCACTTAAAGAATTTTTAGCCAAATCTAGTTGACTAAGAGACATTTAAGTAACCTATTTCTTCAGGAATGGAGCTAGAAAGATTATTCTGATTAAGATACAAAATAGAAAGGCTGGTCAAATTTTCCAATGAAGTAGGAATAGAACCATTTAGAGAATTAATACCCAAATCTAGAGAAGTAAGAGACCTTAAATAACTTATTTCAGTAGGAATCGAGCCAGAAAGATTATTTTGATAAGGAGACAAAATAGACAAGTTGGTCAACTTACTCAATGAGCTAGGAACGGAACCATTTAAAAGGTTGTCATAGATGTTAACGTTCTGGAGCTTTGCTAGTGAGCCGATTTGTAATGGAATTGTGCCTGAAATCATATTGGTGTGCAAGTCTAGATAGACAAGATTAGTGAGATTACTAATTTCAGGTGGAATAGTTCAAGAGAGATTATTCACACTAAGATCAACATATTCAAGAAAAGAGAGAGTCGAAAATGGAAAATCATAGAGTGTACCAATGACATGAGCACCTTCACCTTGCTTACCCTACCATTAAACACATAACTCCATACCAATCCCCACATGTATTTGAACTCTGAGTCCATGAAGCCAATAAGGAATTAATCTGGTTCTTGAAAGTTGCTTTCCATTTTAGGATGGTAATTGCTTCCTCCGTGGAAGCGAAAGTAACTGTAAAGAGATATAAGAAAATGAGAAATTGAACTTTTTTGGGAACCATCATCAAATATATTGATATGCAATTTTCTTGGATTTGTTTCCTTTTGATGAACTTGTGTAGTGTGCAAGTATTTATATTGTAGAGAACTTTTCTAAAGGTATTGCTGGTCAATGACAAGTCAGTATTCTTATAATAATTATTATTTTAATAAATTATATATCCTATTGGACAATAGTTTGTTTAACGAGCGTCATATATACGACTGATACTTATGATTTTTTATTTTTTAAAATCGTTTCTAATAGATATGATGTTATAACAACAAATACTCCGTTTCATCAATAACCAGACTTTGGATTTAGTCAAGCATAAAAAGTCAAATAAGTAGGTAGGGAAAACATTATACTTCCCTCCCTGGTTCCTTTTTAGTTATGTTTATGTGCTTTTCAAAAGTTAATTTGATTATTTTTTTAGAATTAAATTAAATTATATTTAAAATAAAATTTTAGATTTTTTAAAAATATATGAAAAGTATTATATATTGTATTTTTTTTTATATCTATAAGATAAAAAAATATATCTTAAAATATTTATTAAAATTTATATTATTTAACACTAAAATTTTTTTATGACAACTAAACAAAATGAAGAGTGTAACTTGCAAACCGGTCTAGTCATTGGTCTACTTTTGTATTTAATTTATTTTGTCTCAAGGTATAAATTGTTTTTTTGTTGGTATTGAGAGATTTGTTTATGTAGTCCTTCACAATTGTTGTTTTCAATTTTAAGATTTTTTTTTTCTGAAAGATGTTTATTTTTTATTTATAAAAATCATTTCTCAACTCAATGCACTAGCGTTGTTTCGTGAATTATCGGCCGGCCGGGTCAGTATTAATAATATTGCACTAAAAACTGTCATTTTACGTACAAATCACGTAAGAGTCGTAGAATAAGTTATATATAGATGATATTTAATAAAAATTATATAAATACACAACTTAAATATTATAATCTCTAGAATTTTCTATCATTTAAAAAAATAAAAAAGTGTCAAAAATACCCTTAAACTATCTGAGATAGCTCATATATACCCTTAAATTATATTTTGTTTTAAAATTATCATTCCCGTCAAACTATTGGGTCAAAAGTGTCATTCTAATTAACGGAAATTGTTAAATGTCATTTGGATGCCACATGAAACCCTAATAAATTTATACTGCCACATAACTAAAAGAAAAAGGGTCAAAAGTACCTTTAAACTATTCGAAATAGCTCATATTTACCCCTAAACTATATTTCGTCTCAAAACTACCCTTCCATCAAACTATTGGGTCAAAAGTGACCTTCTTATTAGCGAAAGTTGTTAAATTCCACATGTGTCATATTGACTAAATCCCTAAATCTTAATTACTCATTTTCCCCTCATTTCATTATTTTCCAGAAACGATTTCACCATTCTCCCTCATTTCGCGGCTAAGGTTTCACATTTTTTTCCTTGGTAAACTTTTTTCTTATTTTATAATGTTTACAACGACGAAAATTCACTTTGAAACTTAGCTCCGAAGAAAGTTATGAAACCTTGGCCGCGAAATCATGGGAAAGTTGTGAAATTCTAACTATCATACTTTGAAATTGTAAACATAATAAAATAAGAAAAAATATTTACTAACCTACAACCATGAATATCCACTTTGAAACTCAGCCCCGAAGAAAGCTACGAAACCTTAGCTGCAAAATTAGGGGAAAGTTGTGAAATACTAACTATTATGCTTTGAAATCTTAAACATAATAAAATAAGAAAAAAGATTTACTAACCTACAAGCATGAATATTCACTTTGAAACCCAGCCACGAAGAAAAGTATAAAATCCTAGCCGCGAATTTAGGGAGAACCGGTGAATATATCATTTCTGAAATAATGAAATGACTGAGGAAGCAATTAGGATTTAGGGAGTTTGTCTATGTGGCAGTGGAACCTTATTGGCATGCAATGTGACATCCACATGACACTTAACAACTTCTGTTGATAAGAAGGGTACTTTTGATCCAATAGTTTGACGGAAAGGGTAGTTTTGAGCCGAAATATTGTTCAAGCGTAAATATGAGCTATTTCGTATAGTTTACGGGTATTTTAACCCTTTCTATTTAGTTTATGTGACAGTGGCATCCTATTGGCATGCAATGTGACATCCATATGACATTCACGTGGCATTTAACAACTTCCATTAATAAGAAGAGTACTTTTGACCCAATAGTATGACGGGAAGGGTAGTTTTGAGCCGAAATAAAGTTTAAGGGTATATATGAGCTATTTCAAATAGTTTAAGGATAGTTTTGAGCCTTTTCCGTTTAAAAAATTCCCTGTCGGATACATTCCTATCCCCTCTCGCTCGGATAGAATCTTTCCCTCTCAGATACATCCCTATACATTCTTGTATACATCCTGTCCTTTCTTGTAATCAATCCCATTCTCAGATACATATCAACTCTCATATAAATTCCTATCCTCTCTTGGATACATCCATTCCATAAAGTAATGTATTATTTGTAATGTGTCGAACAATCTGGCAATGAAAAATTCAATTTTTTTATAATTGAGAAAATTTCTGAAGTAAAATGTAATCAACCACTAAATGTATGTGGTTTTGATAATGTAAGTTTTGGATTTGAATCACCGATGTGGACCGACCTGACCCGATCTAACCCAAAATTGTTTTTCTGAATAAAAAAAAGAAGGAAAAAGAAGAAGATAATATTAATTTAATAAGGGTCAGGAATAACTATATGTAACTGTTCCAACGTTAATATTCTCTTATTTTTAAATTAAGTATTTTTTTAACACTTCAGATTATATATATAGCCCTTTTAGAATAAGGAGACTAGTACACATGCTTTTATAATAGTACTATGGAGGACTTAATTTTTTTTAAAGAAAGACGTAAGTTGCTTCTTTTCTGCTAGATATTAATAGAGAATTACAAAAACACTTTTGTCATTTGATGTGACACTCATACCATGCCCTTTTAGAATAAGGAGACTAGTACACATGCTTTTATAATAGTACTATGGAGGACTTAATTTTTTTTTAAAGAAAGACGTAAGTTGCTTCTTTTCTGCTAGATATTAATAGAGAATTACAAAAACACTTTTGTCATCTGATGTGACACTCATACCAATTTACATAAGATATTAATTATTGTATTTGTACAATGGATAGGATTTAAAAAAAGAAGAAGGATTTATAGTCAATCTTTTTGGGAAATAGACTTTGTATTATCTTCTTTATTTCACAAAGACTAGTGATCAATTGTTTTTTTACTATATTATAATTTTAATTATGTGTATTAAAATTGTTCTTGATAGATTCGCTTAGCTTTTATATTCCAACTATGATGAATTAAGATCAGTATATTGTGTCAAGAATATTTATATGAAGATCAATATATATTTTCTTTGAAACTATGATGAAGTCGATTCATATGTTAGAAAAAAATTAAAATTGATCGTAAATCTAAGAACATACCTTCATTCTTCAACTTGATATTCTAACAATGAAGTGTCTTTAGTTTCATTCTTTGTTGGGAAACATTAAAGATGATCAACTTTTTTTTTTATTTTGGACAAAAAATAATTTTTTTACTCTGTCGTGGATGAAGAAAAGGATAGAGAATAATTTTGTTCTCTATCGTGAATGAGCGTTTTGCTGTTTTTTTAAAAAAAGTTTTTAATCTAGATATAAGATGAAAAGTTGAATAAGATAAAGAGTAGTAAAGGAAAAGGATTGTTATGGTTTTATATGATCTTGTACTATTTATTTTTTTGTACTTTCTTTGTTGGAAGAGGTCAAATAAAAAAAAAAAGCCCTTTTAGAATAAGGAGACTAGTACACATGCTTTTATAATAGTACTATGGAGGACTTAATTTTTTTTAAAGAAAGACGTAAGTTGCTTCTTTTCTGCTAGATATTAATAGAGAATTACAAAAACACTTTTGTCATTTGATGTGACACTCATACCATGCCCTTTTAGAATAAGGAGACTAGTACACATGCTTTTATAATAGTACTATGGAGGACTTAATTTTTTTTTAAAGAAAGACGTAAGTTGCTTCTTTTCTGCTAGATATTAATAGAGAATTACAAAAACACTTTTGTCATCTGATGTGACACTCATACCAATTTACATAAGATATTAATTATTGTATTTGTACAATGGATAGGATTTAAAAAAAGAAGAAGGATTTATAGTCAATCTTTTTGGGAAATAGACTTTGTATTATCTTCTTTATTTCACAAAGACTAGTGATCAATTGTTTTTTTACTATATTATAATTTTAATTATGTGTATTAAAATTGTTCTTGATAGATTCGCTTAGCTTTTATATTCCTTAAATAGTTTCTCGTCTTTTATGAGAAATTTGGGACATATGTTGTCACATTAAATAGTATTAACCATATTTTTGTTTTATTCTCATTTCAGATATGGCTGAATAGGAATATGCTTAAATCATTGCAAGTGGGAGTTCTCAAAATCGAGCAAAGAAATAAGGTAGAAGAGCAAGTTGTCTAAGGCACATTTTCGAGAGCGTGAAATAATAAATATTATTGTCTCAAAGGCGACACAAACTCTATCAAGAAATCAAAGCGACATACAAAAGTATCATTGTTAAATTAAACGAAAGTGAAAAACTTAAAGATGACAATTACAACATTTGGAGTCGTAAAATATGATATGTACTGGAAGACCAAAATACTCCAGAAGGTATAAATCATGATTTTAATCAAGCAGAAGAGGGTAATACTGCACAACACAGAAGGAATCTTGAAGCTTACAAAGCTTGGAAAAAAGCTTACCCCACTGCACATGGAATAATAGTTAATTGTGTGTTGATGACCTCATACATGAATGTGAGAAATTTACTGCTCATGCTATTTGGGAACATCTACGAGAAATGTATAGGGGTACATCTGTAACCCGCCTCTATCATGATAAGAATATCAAACAACACCTTAGGGTGACGTCAAACATGATAACTCAAATCAAGAGTGTTGGTCATGTTCAATAAGATGAGCAACAAGTTCAGGCAGTGATTCTGTCTTTTCCCAATAATTTGGAACATTTGAAGGTTAACTTGACCCATAATGATAGCATCAAAAAATTTTCTGATGTTGCACGCCATGTTAAACTTGAAGATGAGCGCCTGTGCTGTAAAACTATTTCTAATGACTTTTTGGCAGAGTCAAGTGGTACAAAATCTTCAGGCTTCAAGCGTAAGGAAAATATGAAAAAGAATAGGAAAGACAAAGAGACTAGAGAAGGACCCTCTAAGAAAAGGAAGAATCCAAATTCCAAGAAAGGAAAATGGTTTTTCAAGAAGAGAGACAAGAGCAAAATAAAGTGTTACAATTGTCAAGTGATAGGCCATTTTTTCTGTGAGTGAACTGAGCCGAAAAAGGTAGCATTTCTGAATGCATCTCTAAGTGCTACATATGTTTCTAGCACTTCTTTACTAACTGAATTTTATCCTATGTGGATTGTAGACTCAGATCCACCGACCACATGAGTCGAGATCAAAAAGCGTTTGTGGAGTTTCGTCGACTTTCATCTAAATCAAGGTGGATCTACGTGAGAAATAATGTGAAATTGAAAGTTAAAGGGATAGACACTTGCAAAGTGGACTTGCGTTGTACCCATTCTTTGATTTTGCATGACGTCCTATATGCTCAAGATTCTTTATGAAACTTATTATTTGTGTCTATTGTATTAGACGTTGGTTTTGATTTGTTTTTTAGTCATAATGGTGTTAGAATAACTCTAGATAATATTTTATATGGTTTTGGACTTTGTTATGACCGCTTGTAATCCTTCAACTTAACTATTATATTGATCGTTGTTTAATGACATGTTATGCAAGCAACAATATTATTGATGTTATTACATGAAATGCACGATTAGGTCACATAGGGAAAGATCGAATGAATAGGTTGGCAAAAAAAGAAAATTTAGGTTCTTTTACCAAGATTGATATGCCAACTTGTGAAATGCTGGTAAGGTTACACATAAATCTTTTGGGAAGGCTAAAAGAGTTGAGTTCTCACTTCAATTAATTCACTTTGATATTTGTGGTCCAATAAATGTGAAGGCACTGTATGATGCTACATGCTTCATTACATTTATTGATGATTTCACGCGCTTTGGTTATGTCTATTTAATTTCTCATAAACCTGAAACGAAACACTTGAGTGCTTTAAAAGATATATGAATGAAGTTAAAATTAATTAGATAAAAACATAAAGTCTTTAAGAACTAACCGAGAAAGTGAATATTTGTCAAATAAATTTAAAGAATTATGTACTGAAAAGGGTATTATCAAATAGTTAACTATTCCTTATACATCTCAACAAAATGGTGTTGCTAAACGAAAAAATAAAACATTATTAGACATGACAAGATCAATGATTGCGCAGAAAAGTTTGTCTATCTTTTTTTGGGGAGATGCATTATTGACTTACATATTGAACAAAGTACCTTCTAAATCAGTGCCTTCCACCTTTTTATGAATTTTGGACTGTTCATAAAATAAATATGTATGATTTACGATTGTGGGATTGTGTGACATATATTAAAGATCGTTTTGATGAATTTGGCAAACCAAGTCAAAAAAAATGTATCTTTATAAGGTACTTTGAACGCTCGAAAGGGTATGTGTTCATCGATGAACCGGAGGATGAAAGTATTATTAAAATTGTATCATGAGATGTCAAATTTTTGGAAAATGATTTTCCCAAAAAGGGTGAAATAAGTGAAGTTGAACCTTTGTACGAAATATTGAATTTAGAAGATCAGTTATTGTTGTTAGACATACTTGATAATTCAATGGATCAAGAAATAATTCCTAGTCCAAGTAGGAGCTTTGAATCCCAAAATTCTATTGATGAATCTTAACTTCAATACGTAAGAGTACAAGAAAAGGTATGCCTAAGCAATCTTATGAGATTGAGGATTATGTTTTCTTAGTATCTCCAGCAGAGTTGGATGAACATAATTCTGTGACTGAGGCCTTGGAGAGACCTAGAAGAGATGAAAGGATAAAATCTACAAAAGAAGAATTAGAGTCTATGAAAATAAATAAAGTATGAGATGTGTTTGACCTTCCTAAGTAACGTAAATCTATTGGGCATATATGGATTCTCAAAGTTAAATGCAAATCCGATGGGACGATAGAGAGACACAAAGCACGATTGGTGGCAAAAGGTTTTACTCAAGAAGTTGGAATAAACTATGAGGAAACTTTTTCACCAGTTGTGAAGTTTACCTCCATACGATTACTTTTAGCTATAGTTGCACTTTTAGATTTAGAAATACACAAAATGGACATGAAGATCTCAAGGAGAATTAAATGAGGAAATCTACATGGAACAACCCATAGATTTCGTTGTTAAAGGTCAAGAAAAGAAAGTCTGTAAATTGAAAAAATTAATTTATGACCTAAAACAATCTTCAAGGCAATGGTACCTAAGATTTAATAAGGATATGATACCATTTTATTTTACCATGATCAATGCAGGTCATTGCATCTATGTGAAAAAGTCCGATGGAAATTTTGTAATTCTTTCTCTTTACGTAGATGATAATTTATTAGCTGAAAATAATTTAGAGTGTGAAAATTGTTAAGTCATGACTTTCAAAATCATTTGATATGAATGATATGGGTGAAGAAGAATATATATTGGGTGTTAAGATCCACAGAAATCGTTCCAAGAAATTTTTGAGTTTATCTCAAGAAACTTATATAAAGAAAATCTTTGAACGTTTTCGAATGAATGTTTTTAAATCCATGGATACTCATGTAGCAAGAGGTGAAACTTTAAGCCTTAAAATGTGTCAAAAGACTGAAAAAGAAAAGGAAGACATATATCGAGTTCATTATTCTAGTGTTGTTGGGAGTTGGATGTATGCTATGATGTGTACTCGCTCCGACATTTGTTATGTTGTGAGTAGTTAGCAGGTATCAATCCAATCCTCAAAGATATCAATGGAAATCAGTAAAGAGAATATTTTGATACCTTAAGAAATCTGTTGATCATACACTTTCTTTTAGTGGATCTTATTTATTCTCAAGAAGTTAGAGAAATGTTGATTGAGCGGGTGATCGGAATGATAGAAAATCAACATCCAGTTATGATTTCTTACTAAATGGTGGTGCTATTTCATGAAAAAGTAAGAAGCAAACTTGAACAACTCTCTTTTAATCATGGAATCAGAATTCATTTCTTGTGTGTGCAGTACAAGAAGTTGTTTGGTTTAAGAGATTCTTTGAGCAGTTGGGTATTGCAAAAATTTCTAAGGGTCCATTGATTTTACATTATGATAGTCAAACATCTATCGCATTTACGAAGGATCCTAAATATCATAGCAAACCACAATCCGTTGACATCATGTATAATTTTGTAAGAGACGTAGTGACAGTAGAGAAATAACTTTACAATACATTTGTACATGTGAAATAATATTTGATCCTCTTACGAAGAGAATCTCTAGAGACTTGTTTGAAAAACATGTTAAGGCTCTTGATTTGTGTAGAATATGATGATATTTCAGTATTGTAGAATAACTTGATTGTTATAATATTCTCTTCTATACAAATTGAATTTATATTCAAATATAATATGCATGTGATAATTTGTAACAAATAAAGTGTGTTGAACAAGTCGCGAGATTGACTATCTCACACGAGCAATCGCCTCTTACATTGAAAAACGTAAAGAGATGAGTTCCACCACCAAATTATGACTTGTTTTATGAACCAAACAAATTTTTTCAAAGAAAATGAATGTAAGGATCAATGAAAAAGAGAAACTGAGGTTAAACATCTTAAGGTGTTTATACTAAGATCTATACGAAGTTGGATGATAAAAAGAATGAGACACATAATCCAATATAAGGAGAAAACATCGTAGCACGTGTTTCATACCGCATGTGTCAAATAATCAATGGGTCAATGAAAGAATGGTTCCCTGCTTCTTCATTGTGTGAGACAGTGAAAAGTTAAAATGACTTTTCAATGAAATACCCTTCGATCTTTTTGTTGTTTCATAAAGTTTCAATCGGTGTTGCTACTTTAGCATGTTACTAATAGCCATGTGTTATGCTGTAATTTTACCGTCTTTAGTAAAATTACTTTTTGAAATGTTTTTAAGTATAAAATAATTTAGCAAAATACTTAGAAAAGAGACGCCACTTCATTTTTTAAAGACATTAAGAAGACTTAATTTAAAAAGATTTTAACAGATTAAATGTTTATATAAATAAATTTAGAAAAAATGGGTAAGAAGTTCTTATTTACGCTTCAAGAAGATTTTTAAGGAATTTGATGCGTCCGCTACCATGCGGTTATCCAACGGCTTAGGTTAAATATTTCAACTATTTTTTAGGAAAAAACTTTTAATATATATATATATAATAATATTAAATTAAAATATTCGATTAACTTGAGAAAATAGTTACAAGAACATTTTTTAATTTTTTGGAAAATTGGATCTTACATTTAAACCAAATTGGTTAACTAAAACATAAAAATAACTTGAATTAATATAAGAAAAGTAATTTTTTTTGACTAAAGATCATTTATAATGATACAAGTGTTTAAAAATAATTAAATAATTATATCAAGACGAACAAACATAATGAATATGATTCATCTTTTGGGGAATTTAATCAAGTTATTTTAAGTTAGAGTTAACAAAAGACACAAAGCAATAAATAATCACAATTAAGTAAGTTAAGGGAATAAAGGAGAAGATGAACTTGGACTTTCTTAGCCGAATTTGCTGCTACTTTTGGGGTTTTAATCAAAACCCATTTTTGTATACAAAAGCCGTATATCAGTAATACACCTTGCATATTAGCACCACTTCTTGTATATCGACCCATATATCGACTGTGTACAGTCCACCTTGATGCCTCAAACCTGTATCTTTGTTTTTGTCTATTGTTTGTTGCATTTTGACCTGTATATTAATATTTTCATGGTGTATACTAGTGTATACTGATGTATACAGGGAGCATACAACCAGTTTTGGACTGTTCGGGTCCTGTTTCAGCTTCCAGCATCATAGAACATTGACGGGGCTGACTCGAAAGAAATTTGACCTAAAGAAATGCAGGGAATGAGTCCAAAATGAACTTAGATTGGTATCACATGTAAAAGAACAAAATTAAAAAAAAATAATTAGCATCCGAAATTGATAGAGCAAAAATATACCGGAAGACAAATCATAGCAACTCTTTAACAAATATGGCAAAAATTAATATACATTTAAAATAAATAGCTACAATTTTTTTTTATGTTATATGGATATAATTACACAATAAATAGTAAAGTTAAGTATATATAAAAATAATTAGAAAAGTTAAATAGGAAAATTATTGTTACACACCTACTTTATGATGTGTGGGCATATTTTATGTGATTGGTTCCCCACGTTTACCCTCACTAATACTCTCTTTTATCAATTTTCCTATATCACAAAATTTATGTATTTTTCTCCCAAATTTCTTTAAATTTAAGATCTTTTTGATGATTTTAGGGGCAATTTTTGTAATTTGAATTCATGAGATATCACTTGATTGATTTTCTCCTCATCTTTATATAAATCATAGTTGTATACATATATGTTGCATCTATTTTTATATATAGGCTTTCAATTGACTTGTTTCTATATTACAATGACTACAGTTATAAAAAAAAGAGTAGTACAAGAAGAACACGAACAAAAAGAGATTGAGGTTTGTGTAATCGTCAAATTTGTTTATAGTAGAATAGTTATATGCATAGATACTTGTATACTAATATCAACACAAGTTGAAATGGTAATTTCTGAATACAGGTATATTTGGATACATAAGTAATCTATCAAATTTGAAAGGTTAATTAGGCAATACAAGTATAATTAGATACATTAATACAATTTTTTATAAACAAATACATGAGTCAACACCAAGCCACAAGTATTATAAGAAAAACTGACCATAAAGAAATTGATGTTTGTGATTTTTTTCATTTTTTTATACAACTGAATACTTGCACACTTTTTCTACCTACACATTCTATTATTTTCCATTTTTTTTTGTTTATGTATTTGTCAAATATATTCATCTTTTGTTCAAAAACAATGTTCATATGTATACTATATTAGTGTTTTCATTTTTTGTTTAACAACAATGTATTCATTTTTAAAATTATCGTGTTCATATGTTGAATTGTTATACTTTATCTTGTTTAATATATTAATACATTATGTTTTTACAAATACTTGTATGCTTGATATATTAATACTTTAAATTTTATAAATAAAGACACTAATTTGAATTCATACAATTCATACAATTTCCTGATTTAGTTCATTATAATTAAAATTGTATCAATGTATAAATAGAAAAATAAAAAGCATATACAATAATATTGCTAGAAAAAGAGCTAAAATATAGTCATTTTTTATACATATCATACTTATAGCTATTTAACTTTAATAACCCTATAAATATAGTAATTTTTGTAAGTTTCTCCTTAAACTACTGTTAGCACTTAATGTCCATAACAATACATATGGTATCCAACCCATTTAATAATCAAAACATGATAAGGAATGACACTAACAGTTGAACCCAACAAGGTTAGGACAACTTTATTTAATACTAATTGCAAAAACAATATATATACACATACATACATACATATATATATATATATATATATATATATATATATATATATATATATATATATATATATATATATAAAGAAAGGGAAACTTATATAAATATACTACAAATAAAAAATATTTACAATTTATAACAATAACATTTTTTTTATTTTTTCACATTTAATACATTTTTAATACACTTTTAATTCATATTACAAAAAACAATTTATTATTCACATATAATACAAGTTGTATTGATGGATAATACATTTACCACACATTTTAATACACTTATAATACAATGTTTCAATTTTTTACCAAACAATTATAATATATTTTTAAAAATAGTTATAATACATATATATTTTCATACTTAATTCACTTTTAATACATATTGCAAATTTAACATAGTATTAATATAAATGGTAATAAATAAAAAGTATTTATTTATAAAAAATATTCCTGCGAGTAATTTTTCCTAGAAAGAACCCAGGGGATTAGGAGCCAAAAAAAACGTTAACAGTCCATGCTAAGCTAAAAGACAGAATAATCACATGTATCCAGAAAAGGTTACCAAGCAGCGACTAAATTTTGAAATAGGAATAGACATTTAACTTGGGAGGAAATCATTTTATCATGGAGCATTTGTCCTAAAGAACAAAAACAAAGCTAAACAAGCAAGTTGGAAAAATGCTTAAGTTGGACATGATAGAAAAGTGAACACAAAATGAGAAACAACTGTCCAAAAATTTATCATGACAAGAAACAGAAATGAAGCCGAATGGAGGAACACGCAGATAACTTACAGGGGCTAGCTGTTTTGAAATTTAAAGATGTAAATCATGGGTTAATCCCAAGAGACATAAACATCAATCCTATCAAGCAAGAACAATAAGTTATAGACTTTACGAGAGGTTAACATAATTGAGAAGGTCAGGACCAAAGGAACACACACAGACAATAGAGAAAAAACTAAAGTCAATAGCCAACATAGTTGAAACCAAATGAATGACAAACTATTCCAAACAGAATGAGACAAAGATTTATCCAAGTTTCATAAGGATGTTTCGAGACTTCAAAAAAAGGAAGTCCTAAGTAATAAAATAGATATGAAACAAAAGAGCATGATGATCAGTCGACCTATTCAAACTAGTCTCATAACAGGTGCAATATCGGGTAAAAATTAATCAAGATAAAATCATATTATAGTGAGAACATTGGTACACCTTCAAACCTTTGTATTAACTAGTTCAAATAATCATTACACCTAAACATGAAAAGCATATTAGCTTTCAAAGTAGAAATAATACACTAAAAGCATTTGAATGCATATTTTAATAACATATATTAAGCAGGAAATATACAGGAAAAAATTTCTAAGGTACTAGAGACGAAATGAGCATGGAGTGAATTCACACTATGCAAAATAAATACAAAAAAAGACATGGATTAAGATTATTAAGCTATGTATGAATCGATTTCAAATGAGTATAACAATTGCAACCAAAAATTGGACACTCTATGATTAAGAGATCAAAACAAACCCAATAGATCATATTTTCTAAACTAAACAACACAACGACTTAAACTGAAATAGCGCCAAAAATATCGCAGATTAAGACACAAAATAACTCGTCATAATAACATAAAGAAATCACTATAATCTAAAGTAAAATGGACTGAAGTCGGGAGGAGTGTTACTTTGAAAAGCTTAAACCAAAACAAGAGCACATGAAACTTATGCAAGAATTTAAGATTTGAACGAATACGAATAAGGTTGAGAATCTTAGCAAGAACATTACTACAATACTGATAAGATCAGAATATTGGTTGCATAAAAATAAATTTCTCATAGGACCAGCAGCAGCCAAACAGAAATAGAGATTTCAGAATCTCGTAGATATTAAGTCGAGATAAATAATGTGAAGAGGTTACCTTTTGGTGAGCAGTGACTGGGACAAACGATCTTGAGAGGGGTGATTCTTCTATCACGAGTTTCGAATATGAACAGTAAACCAGGAAAATTCTAGCGTCGATCTTCTCAAAACTTAGAATTAGAAAGTTAGATATAAAAATTTGAAGTGTAGAAGTGGCAATTGCTTTAAAGCAAAGCTCAACTCTTGTCCCTCATTTCTGAGTGTAAAGGGGTATTTATAGGGAAAGATTTAGGGCAAATTTGTTGGAAAATTTCAAGAGAAAATTAGAACTTTCCTTTTCTCTTTTCCAAGACTAACCGTGAAAGATGGGGAAAAAATGTGACTTCCGCAAAAGGGGGAAAAGAGGACGGGACGCGGCTGCGCAGGTGTACTGTTGCGCCGTTTGGAGTAGCTATTGATGTTAATCGTATGCTGGAGAAGAGTCTTCGGGCATGGATATTGTATGGGCTCTCGCGAGTTCTGTTGAGGAAGAAGACGCGAGGGTGGAGCGGGTCGGTCTTGTTGTACGTACGCATATTGTTGTTGGGTATTGAATTTTTATTTTATTTTTTGGGCTTCAAGAAGTGGGTTGGGTTGCTTCGTTGAAGAATAGGTTTTGGGCTTAGTATTAAAGAGAATTGGGCTCAAATTTTTGCTGCTGTATGTTTGCTGATGAATGTAATGTCGTGCTAAAGTTTGGAGGAAGATGGTGGGCTTGAAATCGACTGCTGATTTGGTGAGTAAGTGGATCCAAAAACTTGGTATTGAAAGAGAGTTTAAGAGGAATGAAATGGCCAACTGAATTGCACTTATAGCCAATCAATATTAAGAACTTAGTCAAATTGATTAAATTAGTAAATTTGACTAGTCATTAAATAGGATTTGTTGAAGAATGGGTTTTGGGTTTAGTATTAAAGAGAATTGGAGTCAAATTTTGGCTGTTGTATGTTTGCTAATGAATGTAATGCTAGGCAGAAGTTTTGAGGAAGATGGTGGGCTTTAAATCGACTACTGATTTGGTGAGTAAGTGGATTCAAAAACTTGGTCTTGAAAGAGAGTTAAAGAGGAATGAAATGGCCAACTAAATTGCACTTATAGCCAATCAAAATTAAGAACTTAGTCAAATTGATTAAATTAGTAAATTTGACTAGTAATTAAATAGGATGAATTTAATATAACTAATTAATGAGCTTTTTAATTTTAAGGAAAAATTTTCAAAATCTCAATATTTTGACATTTAATAGAATTCATTGTCAATATTTTTAATATTTAGTTAAAATGTCAAAAAAAATAAACAATTGTTAAAAACAGAAATGAGAAATTAAGGGGAGAGAAAAATATTAAAAAGAAACAATTGTTTAAAAGTCTTATCAGTTACAAAAATTCAAAAACAAAGAACTAATTGACAATTTATCAAAATACACCAACTTCCATCACTTTCTTCTTCTTTCACCATGTTTTTAAAAACACGCCTATCACCATTGTTCTAAAAATTCAATATTCAATTTTCTTAATTTTTTTGAAGCACTTTATTCTACTAAGGCATATTTTGACGTTATGAAATCATAATTTATCTTTAAAGATGTCTGAAATTTTATGAAGTTTATATATATCTCATTCTATGAAATTTTTTCAGTATTCAGAATAGAATACTCATGTATTCATGATATAGGTATTCATCCATCTTACATATGTATTTTATTTGTCTTATTTTCAATATTACTTTGTATACCAAATAGTTTGTATTTAGATTTGATTCCGTATTCGTCCTAATGTATACCATAAAATTTGTATATATATTTGATTTCGTATTCTTCCTAATGTATATCATAATGTTTTTTATTATATTTTGATTTCGTATTCATTCTCAACTATAAATAGCCAAATACAATTTATTTATGTATTCATTATATGTATATTCATCCTAATCCTAATGTATACCATAAAATTTATATTTAGATTTGATTTCGTATTCGTCCTAATGTATATAATAAAGTTTCGTATTTATATTTGATTTCGTATTCATTCTCAACTATAAATAGCCAAAATACAGTTTAATTATTTATTCATTATATCTGTATTCATCCTAATTGCACCAGTCAAATAGTTTTGTATTTTATTTTGCTCATTATATGTTTATACCAAATAGTTTACTTTTGATTTCGTATTCATTCACAATTTTAAATAATCAAAATATAGGTTTGTATTTAGTTTATCACTTTGTAAACATAGATTTGATTACAAACTACAGAACATTCAAAATACTTTCAAATACTTTTGCGAAACAACTCAATACCTAAATGCTAATGTGGATTCTACTAAATCTGAATTATAAAAATAAATCATAAAAAAATATTGACAAAAATTATTTTAAATACTAAAAATCTGAAATACATAAATATTTGATGAGTAAGTTAACACACTCATATAAAAATTTAAAAAAACGATGGAAATTTCTCAATACATACAATCCTAAAATTCAACATAATGTGTGATTTTGAAAATAAAATTTGGCAAAACAAATGATGAATTCAAAAATACCTTTATCAATTGAGAGATTTCTTGATTAATTGATAGATCTGAAAAAATTGTTACGAACTTGAGTAATTAGTTCTTCAACAATGAAGAGAATAATGGTGAAATTTTGATGAAAGAAAAAAAAAGAAAAGTGAAGATGTGAATGGTGAAAACTGAAAAGTTGATGAAAGAGAAAAAAAATTGAAAAGTGAAAGATGAAAAATAAATTTAATGGTACTAAAGCAGAAGTGTAATGAATAATGGAGGTAGAATTTGATTTAAAGTTGGACTGTTTTGAGAAATAAAATTTGGATACAAATTATTTTCTAAAATATTGACATTTTGACATTTTCAATAATTATTTTAAAGTATAGATGTTTTTACTAATTAAGTTAGGGATTGTGACTAGTTTGATCATTTTTCCTAATTTTAGTGAAATAAAATACTTATCTCAAATGTAAACTAAGTAATTTAAAATAGAAGTTATATTGTATAACTAAACTAATTAACCGGATATTTAAATAAAATAAACTTTTTGAGATGATTTTGGATATTCATAAAATATACTAATTATATTGAGTATATATATTATTTGAAAATGTATATAAAAATGATAAACTGTTTAAATTAACTTGCAAATTATTATTTATTTATTTAAATTTTATTAAACAAATTATTTTAAATCGTTCAAAATTGAAGAGGCTCGATGATTAATTTATATTGTGGAGGGTCAAAATTAGGTGTCAACAGTTGTCCCTCCTTTGGCTTGGATTGATGAAAGAAATTCGAGGCAAATGAACAATTTTGGCACGAACTTTAGGAATTATGGACGAACAGTGGAATTGGGTTTTCTTACACATCTCAGGCTATATGAGATTCAGACAACTTGTAGTTCAATATGTTTGATTTGACGCACGATTATGAAAGAATTTAAAAGATAACCCAATATAGAATTATGATGGATCGGAATGCTTGAGAATTAGATTTGAGAGACGATGTTTGAATACAACCGAATTTTCAATATTGAGCGTCCCTACATTTCCTTAAACCTTAGGAAGCTGGATGTTTATAGTTCGACTCGATTGGTTGAAAATGAAATCTATTATGCTAGATAACCTTCATATCTGGAAGAGTGACAAGTAAGTTGAGTTTGGAAAAAGAGGCTTGCAACCTCTTAGACATTAATGTGGAGCGCTTCACACCAATAATTAAGAACTACATGGACATAATTCCTAAAACTCTTGGTGCACTGTCACTCAGATTCGAAAGTTGCCTCCGATGAGAGCTAGAAGTTTCCCAGATGCAAAATTAGAACTGATAAACAAAAAGAAAAACACACATGCCTTTGATAGGGGTATGGCTTGATTGTGGTAGAAATCGTTCCTTAACTCGCGTCCTAAGAGTTTGACACTTCTCTTTAGACTACGTCTTAGTTCGCTGCTAAGAAAAAGTTTCACGTTGTGCTGCATCCCTTTTGATGTCGTCCGTACCTGTGATTTGGTTTGAGAATTCATCCTCTTGGATGCTCTTGACAAAGACTGAGATAGAACTCATTAGTGTAAAATATAATTCAAATAAAGAGAGAGTGCCTTTTACCATTTTAACCCCTAATTGCTTTCCTTGAATATTTAACGACGGGTAACTTCATTTTGACGTAAAACAAATAAAACTCGTATCTCTTATTTTAATAAAATTCTTCATTGTACTCTAGTTCTGATATTGAAGTCAATAAATTAGACTGATGTGATATGTTGATGTTCTCTTGAAGGTATGAATGTGCAATAGACCTCTCAGCGTTTCAATATGCAATGACCTTCTCGGCAATTTGAATATGATGGACCTTTCGGAAATTTGAAAATGAATAGCCCTCTCGGAAATTTAAATATTGATAGCTCTCTTAGCGGTTTGAGTGTAATGACCCTATTGACAATTGAATATGAATAACCCTTTTGGATTTTGAATATAATGTCCCTCTTGGAAATTTAATATGAATGACCCTCTTGGCTTTTGAATATTATGTGCCTCTAGGAAATTTGAGCATGCAATGGCCCTCTCGGCAATTTAAATATGGATGGAGCTCTCGGCGGTTTGAATGTGAATGGCCCTTTCGACAATTTGAGTATGAATGACCCTCTTGTCTATTAAAATATGCAATAGCTTTCTTGGCAGTTTTATATGAATGATTCTCTTGTCAATTTTAGTATGAGTGGCCCTCTTGGAAATTTGAACATAAATGGCCCTCTTGACAGTTTGATATAATGACCCTCTCGGCAATTTGAACATGAATGGCCCTCTTGGAAGTTTGATATGAGCCCTCTCGAAAATTTGAACATCAATGGCCCTCTTGGCAATTAAATTATGAAATGACCCTCTTGGCAATTAAAATATGCAATGGCCCTCTTGGCAATTAAAATATGAATAGTCATCTAGGCAGTTCGATATGAATGGCCCTCTCTGCCATTTGAGTAAGAATGACCCTCTTGGTATTTTAAACATGAATGACCCTCTTGGTAGTTTGATATGAATGATCCTCTCGACAATTTGAATAGTATGGATAGGACTATGAATGTCGTACTCTTTGGTTAAGCAGAGGTGTTTTACTAATTATCAAATATTTGCTGATAGGTTCTCCCGAAATAGTTGGTTGATAAATATGATATCTTTGATGATCTTATCATACCCTGCATCCAAAAAAAATAGTTTTGGAACAATCTGCGTAGATATCTTCAAGTCTCAAAGCTCCTTGTCTCGTTATCTTTCGAAGTTTGATTAATCCTACGAAAAAAGACAAGATCCTATAAAAACATTTTCTATCTAATAAGTTTTTTAGAAAAATAGTTTTAAAGAAAATCTCTGCCAATTAAATGTCACGACATCACGGCACGAACAAAACCCTTTGTCTCAAATTTTGTCAAGATAGATAGCTTGCAGGCGACTTTAGAACTCCGTAAAGAGTATGCAACGTTGAGGCACTTGAAACTAATTTTGATATTCTGAGTACCGTTGATGTAATTTTTGAGATCCTTCTAAAAAATTATGTCCCAGTTAGATGTCTTAAAACAAATCTGATGATAATAATGGAAGTCATGATATGTTTCAATTTTTTGAGATTTTCTTGAAATAATTTCGTAATTGCACATTTCGACATGATATTTTACCCTTGTATGTAAGAAATAACTCTTCTTTCCATTATGAATTCCATTATAAAGGGAAATGGAAATCTTATGAGAATATGACCTGATGCCTACGCATTCCGTTGAGGCAGGAATCAGGTCTAACGTAGTTCCACTATCGAGGGTTAACATAAATAAGAAACTTTGATAAGGAAATAACCGAGGCTGACATAGGCAGACGATGTATCTCATTCTTGAGAATTCAGGTCAAACATAGTTCAAGTACAAAGAGAATACTTCAAAACATAATGCGACAACGATTACAAGCAAACTACATTTACAAGGAAATAATGGAAAGGAGTATCATTTTCAATGTAGTAAATTTTGACGGCATCCAAATTGATAGATTCGCGCCACACCCGTCCATCCATCTCTGCTAGGACCAAAGCTCCTCTTGATATTACTTTATGGACAACATACGGTCCTTGCCAGTTAGGTGCAAATTTTCCTTTGTATTCGTCTTGATGAGGGAAAATGCATTTCAACACCAGTTGGCCTACCTCAAATTTTTGAACTCTTACTTTCTTGTTGAAAGTGCGAGTCATTCTCTGTTCATACAATTGGCCATGACAAACAATACTCATTTTTTCTCATCAGTTAATGTACATTGTTCATATTGATCACGAATCCGTTCGGCATCGCTCAATTCATATTTTTGAATAATCCTCAAAGATGGTATCTCAACTTCAGTTGGAATCACTGCCTCTGTTCCGTATACTAATAGATATGGAGTTGCTCCAGTTGAGGTTTGAATTGTAGTGCAATAACCTACCAAGGCATAAGGCAAATTTTCATGCCAACATTTGTAGTTGTCAATTATCTTTCTCAATATCCTCTTGATGTTCTTAGTGGTAGCTTCCACAACTCCATTCATTTGAGGACGATATGCAGTTGAATTACGGGGGGTGATTTTGAATTGTTCACATATCTATTTCATCAAGTGACTGTTGAGATTTGTTCTACTGTCTTTAATGATATAATCAGGAACTCCAAAACGACATATCAAATTATGGTGAAAAAAATCGGCTAAAACTTTCTTCTTACAGCTTTGTAGGAAGCATCTTTGGCCCACTCTGTGAAGTAATCAATGGCGACCAAAACGTACCTATGACCATTGGAGGCAGCATGCTCAATCGGTTCAATAACATCCATGCCCTAGGCTGCAAATGGCCAAGGGGAACTCGTCACATTAAGCTCGAGGGGTGGTACTTTGATCAGATCTCCTTGTACCTGGCATTTATGACATCTTTAGCCAAATCAGCCACAATCATTTTCCATAGTCATCCAAAAGTATTCCATCCTTAAGATTTTCTTTGATAATGTAAACTCATCCATGTGCGTTCCACACACTCCAACATGCAATTCTTTAAGCAATTTTGTGGCTTCTGCAACATCCACATATCCCAGTAATCCCAGATTAGGACTCTTCCTATAAAGAACCTCTCCATTCAAAAAGAAGTTGTTTTTTTATTTTCCGGATTGTTTTATTTTGGCTACTTGTTGCTTTTTTGGGGTATTCAGCAGCTTCTTAGCACCTTTTCACATTGATATACCATGGATTTCCATCTGATTCCTCTTCCAGATGTAAATAATGTGTTGGTTGTTCTTTTAAACCTATCTCAAGTGGGAAAATGTAACTTTTTCAGGATGTTGTATCATGGATGATATGGTTGCGAAGGCATCAGCAAACTCATTATGCATTCTCGGGGTATGTCTGAACTCGGTCTTTCTAAATCTTTTACATAACCTCAGTACCAGTTGTACGTAAGGTAAGATTTCAGATTCTTCACGGCACATTCTCCTTAAACTTGTTGAATTAACAAGTCTGAATCACCAATTATCAGTAATTCTTGATCATTCATGTCCAAAGCCATTCTGATTCGAAGAATACAAGCTTCGTACTCATCCATGTTATTAGTTTATAGAAATCTAAGCTAGCTGTTGCTGGAAAATGTTGCCCCGATTCAGATATCAACACTGCTCCAATTCCTGATTCTCTAGAGTTCACTACTCCATCAAAGAACATTCTCCACCCCAGATATGATATTGATATATCGTCCCTTATAAATAATACTACTTCATTAGGGAAATATGTTCTGATCAACTCATATCCTTCATCTACTTCGTTTTCAGCAAAGTGATCGGTCAAGGCTTGACCCTTAAATGCTTTTTGAGTCATGTACACAATGTCAAACTCACTTTACAACATTTGTCACTTTGCTAGATTTCCTGTGGGCATTGCTCTCCAAAATATGTATTCGAGCGGGTCCATTCTCAAAATGAGATGTGTTGTATAAGCAGTCAGATAATGTCGCAATTTCTGAGCCACCCAAGTCAAAGTACAACAATTTCTCTCTAAAAGGGTTAAACGATCCTGATAGGATGTGAACTTCTTGCTCAAATAGTATATAGATCTCTCCTTTTATCCGATCTCATCATGTTTTCCCAACTCACACTCAAATGCGTTTCCATAGACGAATGAGTACAATAGCAAAGGAATGTTTGCATGTGGTGGCACCAATACTGGTGGATTTGAAAGGTAAATCTTGATAGTGTCAATCACCTTCTAACATTCTTCGGTCTATTTGGTTGGTGCATCCTTTTGTAGCAACTTAAATATGGACTCACATATCACTGTTGATTGAGCTACGAATCGCCTGATGTAATTTAGTCTCCCAAGAAAACTCATTACTTCCTTATTAGTCTTTGGAGAAGGAAAGTCTTGAATTGTCTTGATCTTTGAATGATCAACCTCGATACCACTTCTGCTAACTATGAATCCAAGTAAATTCCCTGCAGGTACTCCAAATGCACATTTGGCTGGGTTCAACTTCAAATCATACTTATGTAACCTATCAAAGAACATTTCTAGGTGTTTCAGATGATCTTAACTCTCACGGGATTTTATGATGACATCGTTCACATACACCTCAATTTATTTGTGGATCATATCATGGAAAATGGTGGTAATAACTCTCATGTAAGTGGCTCTAGCATTCTTGAGGCAGAACGACATAACTCAAAAATGGTAGACTTTCCAAGGTGTGATGAATGCTTTTTTTTCTGCATCTTCTTCATCCATTAAGATCTGGTGGTATTTTGCAAAATAATCCACGAAAGATTGCAACTCATGTTTTGCACAATTATCGATGAGTATATGGATGTTTGGCATGAGACTTTTGGACTTGCTTTGTTGAGATCCCGATAATCCACATATATCCTGATATTTCCACCTTTCTTTGCCATTGGAACAATGTTAGCCAGCCAAGTGGGATATTTAATCACCTTAATGACTTTTGATTTGATCTTCTTCATGACTTCTTCTTTTATCCTTAAACTCAGATTTGTCTTGAATTTTCTGGTCTTCTGCTTTATTGGGAAATATTCTTGATTGATAGACACTTAATGGGAAATAATATCGGTGCTCAACCCTGGCATATTATCATAAGACCAGGCAAACACATCGGTGTATTGTTTAAGCAGCTCGACAAATTTTTCTTTTTCTATTGTTGTCAAATGGATACTGACTCATGTTTCTCTAACTGACTCGTCATCTCCCAAGTTTACTATCTCTTTCTCATCCAGGTTGGGCTTTTTTGGCATTTTCAAGATGCCTCAAGTCCTCGGTGAGGTGCTCCGGCATCATAGTTTTCTCATTATATTCTTCGCATTCATCTTCATTGACCTTACTTGGTTCACCGTGTTCATGACATGTCATAACATTGGCAAGTTTAGATTCATTTTTATTGAAAAGAACAATAAATAAACCATTTTAGATAGAAAGAATTCAAATTTACATATTAGAGAATAATTTGCAAAGGCAAGATAATCAATTTAAAATAAACGAGGCTTTCATTGGAATTTTTAAAAAGGCATACAAACTATGGTCATGACTCATAAGTCATTTCCTTTTTAAACATTACGATGAAAAATAAAGTGACATAAATGGTGATTTCAGGCCTCATAAAAAACACCGATTTTCAAAATTAAAACTTCATATTTTGTCTTCATCTACCAAGCCATTCGATGGATCATAAGTGGATTGGCCATCCAATTCTGTAGCATCTCTTCAGGTCCAACATCTTGGATGGTAGGTGTTATGGTGCATTCTTCCAAGATCACAACACACACTTGTTCATCAAACAATCTTCACATCCCTTCCACTAGACCATCGATCTCAAGCTTTAAATCTTTGGTAACAAATGACTAATACAAATCGGGAATAGGCTTTGGTATATCACATCCATACTTCTTCTCTGCTTCTGCTTCAAAGAATTCCTTCCTTGTTGGGGTATAACAATGCCAAAGAGGAAATTTTGAATTGGTATAGGAAGAGGTTCAGATTTGTCATTAATACGCTCAAACTTACTTCTCAAATAAGAAGTAAAGCGGTTATATCAAGTAAAGAACCCAACTAATAAGGTTGGGATCGTTCCCACGAGAAAAATAGTTCAGACTTAACTTTAATTTATTATTACTCAATTAGTTCCTTAGAAAATAAAATACAATAAAATGGGGGGGGGGGAGTTATTTCTAAATGAATGAAAATAACTAACTAAATTAAAGTAAACAACTAACACATTCAAATATTGGAGTTTAATCAATTAATAAAAGTAACTAGGGTTTAAGTGTTCCCCACAGGTTCCTAACTTGATAATTCTAATTATAACAATTCTTTCCTAGTATCTTTCATGCAAAGTGATAAGTTGTGTATTTCTAAATCCTTGGTCTGGCATGTAGAAAATTTCACTCTGCACATTGGTCTGGCTACGTGTGTTACTATATTAACCGTTACCTTTACCTCATATTAAGCATTGTATTCGACATTTAATTAAGTTATTACCTCGTACCAATCAATACTAGCCTATTAGATAGTATACACTAAATCTATGTTGATAATTCTTTTCCTATTATCTACCTCCTTGGTCTTGCAAGTAGCATTAAGGCGAGTTATAACGTTGGCCATCTGTTAAAAAGACTTCGAAACGAAAGAATTATCAATACATGCAAGACATTATTCTAGAATTGTTATTTTAGTTAGATTTTACCTCATTATTCACCCATGGTTCCCACAACCCTAGTTATGGAGCTTAGTTATCCATAATCATAATCACAATATTCATATATGTAATATAAGAATTCATGCACTTACTTCAATGAGAAAGAATAAAATCCAGAAGTTCACTTGATTAATCGACAAATTCCCCAACAATCAATTCCAGAAAAAGTATATCAATTACTGAAATTAATCGAGGACTAAAGATTCTCCAAAAGTATAACAATCACAAAGTCTAATAACAAAGAGTCTACTAACAAAGAGTCTAACAACAAAGAGTCTAACTCCAAAACGAGGTTTTCCAACTATTTATAAAAAACAAAAACCTTATAAAAGAAGGTCTCTAATTGCTGAAAATCTATCAAAATGTGTCCGAGTCGACGGATCTCGTGATGGGCCGTCGTGGTCACGACGGGCCGTCATGGTCACGACGGACCGTCATGGTCGCGATGGGCCGTCATGTCTGTCATCCTATACTTTACAAATCCTTCTACTGCTTTCTTCATTACCCTCGACGAACAGGTATGATGGACCGTTCCAAGCACGATGGTGCGTCGAGGGTCTCCGTTCCATAACAGTTAAACTTCTTGGAATTTGGGTATTGGGACTACTCTTTGATCATCACAACGAACTAGCAGGACGGACCGTCGTGGCTATGACGGTCCGTCATGAACTTCGTAATCCCACACTTAGGTCAGACTTCCCCATCTTTCTTCAGCAGCTTCACTACGATGCCACCTACGGACCGTCACAAGCCACGTAGGTGGTAACTTTTCTGCATTTCTTTCTCAAAAACTTCCACGTTCATCTTTAGACCGATTTCTTGCAAATAAAGAGAAACTTACATAAAAATCAATACAAAAATTCTTTTGGAAACACACTAAACTTAAGGAAAAAGCATTAAAAATACCGTGAAACCACGGTATATCAACACCCTCAACTTAAATTCATTGTTTGTCCTCAAGCGACGCACTATGACTCACTACAAAATCTTTGTACAATAGTATCCATGTTTTAGCTTTCGCAATCATTTGGCTATCAATCCCGATCAGTGTCATCATGTGTATGCATGTTATCACTATTAGGCTTAAATTAT